TACCTTTGTCTATGGTTGAGACTATTGATCACTGCATGTGAAGATGATGCATGACATGTACACATCTGCGTGAGATGGTCCCCAGGACCCATGCACGAGGCCCTAGACAGATTCTGTTGGCATTTTGAAATGATTGATGTGCGCCATCTGCGCAGCTGAGCAAGATAATCGGCAATCATTGGGTCATTGTTACGTGCCATCTCATGGTTGTTATGCACTTAGCAATATACTCGCCCATACCAAGTTTCAGTGCTTTTATCACGTCTGCGGTGTCGGCATTGAGGCGGTATTTGGAGCCTTCAATGAAGAGGGTCCGCGGATGTGTGTCTTGCATAATAGAGCAGTCCACTGTGGCTACATGACCGTCAACAGTGTCTGTACAGCACGGAAGCGCTCGTCGACAAGGACAATCACTAGCGTCTGGAGGCAGCATATTGGGTGTTATGCTGAGTGCCACTTCTGTAAAATTACAGAGCTGGACACGAATGGGCGGGACCATCTTGTCGCAAATACGTATTTCTTTGGCCAGAGCAGGCTGCGGATGTAATTCTGCGACCTCTGGTAGAACGCCCCGTACTTGTGTAGTTCGAACAACTGGATGCATGTGCACAATCTTAATGAAATTTGAGAACGGAGTCTGATCATGCATAGGGCTCGAATACGGTCGGCGTGAATAAAGCAAACCATGGATCATGCATTGTGTGTGTGTGTGTGTGTGTGTGGTGTGTGGTGTGTGTGTGTGTGTGTGTGTGTGTGTGTGTGTTAACATCCCCAAACTCTCTCTCTCTCCCATTCCATCCACATACCACCACAAGCCTTCCATAAACAAAAAAAAGTATAGATAGATGAGCGATATAATAGAAGGTGCAAGGTTCCCCACGTTTGTGTGGTTGAGCTGGAAGTGCCCACGGTGCAAACATGTGAGTATGTGTGTGCATGTGTGTCTCATCATGTTAACTATAGAGGGAAAAAAATGACTGTGCCAGACTGTGCATGTGTGTGTGTGTGTTTCCCCCCATTATAATCACCTCATATCAGGAGATCCATGCAAATCCACACAGTTTAAGAAAAGTGTGAGGCTGTGTGTGTGTGTGTGTGTGTGTGTGTGTGTGTGTGTGTGTGAGGCTGTGTGTGTGTGTGTGTGTGTGTATGTGTGTTGTGTGTGTGTGCATGTGTGTTGTGTGTGTGTGTGTGTGTGTGAGTGTGTGTGATGATGTGTGTCCAAACTCCAGCATAACTCGACACCACACATTCATAATAGAGCTCATCAGGGAGACTACAACAACATACTCCCATATGGAGCATGTGTCAGTACAGAGGCCAGAAAAGGGCATTGTAAAGAAAATATACCATCATGAAGACAGGAAGTGGCCAATTGCAGACTGTTTCGTCGAACTCCCATCAGGAGGCTGAACCATGGCCGACGGTGCCAGAATCCCCATATTGACGTTTTGAGTCATAGTCTACTTCGACCTCTGTTGCAAGAGGACGGCCAGGCAGGTGACCACACAAACAGCAAGGAAGAACAGGCAGCAGCAAAAGTGAAGGGCTGGCTGGCAGGCAGGCAACAAGGCAACCGGCAATGCAACAGCACAAGTAACAGTGAAGCAAGCAAGCGAGGAGTAAGCAGCAAGGAAGGCAGCAAGACAACGAAACAAGCGTCATCATGGGTGGCAATGCAACAACACAAGTAACAGTGAAGCAAGCAAGCAGGCAGATGGGTGGTAGGGAAGGAGAGGCAAGCAGGCAGGCACACAGCACGGGCAAACAACAGGGCAGCAAGGCAGGCAGATGGGCAGCACTGGAGCAGTCCATATATACAGCACGGACAAAGTGGGCCATCACTTACTTGCCCCACCAGTAGAACTCTATGGAATGAGGTTCACACCACCATCAAGACAAAGGCAGTCACTCTGACGAATGTCTAGCAAACAGACCCCAATAGTTTTACCGACACTTCTAACAACCAGCACAACATCCCAAATTGCCTCATCACAATTGCAGATCAAAGGGAACACCGACACACAACCAATACACAGTGGACAACATAAAGACATATTTAGAAGGACGAAGAAAGAAAGAACTTGCAACAAGTATACTGGTGTGTGTGTGTGTGTGTACATGAGTGTGTGTGTTGTGCTGTGTGTGTGTGTGTGTGTGTGTGTGTGTGTGTGTGTGTGTGTGTGTGTGTGTGTGTGTGTGTGTGTGTGTGTGTGTCTTTGTGTTACTGTGTGAGTTACAAAACTTGGCAGAGAAGATCACCAATAAAAAGGTCAAATTTGTGGTGGTTCCGTGTCCAACAAGAGCCAAAACCCTGCACAATCATCCGACTCAAAATCGGATTGAACTGCCAGGAAATGAAGGCCTTTACATTGAGCCTTGGCATCCTCCCAAGCCCTTGCCTCCTCATCTGCCTGCCTACTCTTTCTGTAAAATGCATACCGCCATCTGTCCAAGACATTCGTTTGAAGCAAAAGGCACGCCATTTTTGGGTCTACCTTGATAGATGCAAGCTCCAAAGCACTGGTATAGGCTGAAGGAACACCAGACAAACAATCAAAACAATTCGATCAACGAAGTCAATTAAGCAAAACAAAAATTCCACAAGGTCTAGGTTTTGACAGAAGGACTCGGCATTTTGGCGAAGATCAAGTGTAGTATCTGTTCTGATCAGTTTAATAGCAAAAAAAAAAAAAAAAAACAGCCGGACAACTGACCACCTCACCTTTGCCTGCCCTGCCGAATCAGGTTCTGAAGGCCGCCTTGACTGCACCCTGTTTTGCCCAGAACAAGGACAGAAACCACCGCATTGTGAAGGCCAAGCTACTGAATCTGTTGTGTTTGTTTGGCTTCTTTTCCTCACTTTGGTAGGGGAGGAACAATGCAGAGGAAGCGGCTGAAAGCCATCCACATCAATTCGAGAAAAAAAAAAAAAAAAATCAGAAAAAAAAAAAAAAACACCTTACAGCCACGGCCCCATACGGTTAGTGCCTTATCTTATCCCAAGTCCCAGGGACAACATCGTACGGAAAGCCCTCACTGTAGTGCTGGACAACATATACGATCCAGCGGAATTTCTGGACTGTTCACACAGTCGATCCTCACGAGGTGCGAAGCGTGCAGTCCTCCACTTAGACCGAACATTCAAGAGTGTGACTTGGGTTATAGAAGATGACACTGATAGCGGGGGGAACGAACATCATATCTAGAGAATGCACACTGACCTCGGATTGAAATATTTTTCGTATTTTTTTTTATTCTGACTCGTTTGGATTTTCCAGATGGGTGGGCACAGGGCTGTCCCAGCCTCAGAGAGACAGCCTAGCAACACACTTCCAGCATTCAAAATCTCCACCAGTGGTTCTGAGAAAGAACATGTTCACATGTTGCCTTGACATCGCAGGCATGGCATTGGTAAAGCTTAAACCGCTAGTACACGGCCCCAGCCTTACAGTCCAAAACTTGTCGCCACAAGAAAACGAGATTGAAACGTCAAACGCTGGGCCTGCTGGCGATATATGGGATCAGCGGTCGTTTTTTCGTTTTGCGCCTCCAAAATTCAAGGTGCCAAGCCCGCGGCTCAGGTAGGCGTGTACTGGCGCTTTAAGACCCTTGGCCTATTTGCTGCATCTGATACGACAGTTACTCACCCCTATGGACCGGCTTAAGCAAATGAATCAATCTAGGACTCCAGCCGGCAGGGACATATCTGGGCAAGGTCCTCAGGATTCCCAGCCTGGGACTTGAAACATGTGCAATAACCCGCTTGAATATGCCTCATCGACTGTCTAAGGGCCACCCACAGGCCCAGCGTCGGCCCTAGGCCGCATTGCCAAGAGGCAGGCCCCCAAATGTTGAATTCACGGGCCCTCTGCCCTTCCAGTCAACTGTACGAGGCCCTCCAGTCAAAGTCTGCATGGACCCAGCCCAGGCCGCCGGTCAGACACACACACTTGTTTGTATGCAGGTACCCAGACAGCATTCGGACCAAGTGGAAGTCTGTAACTGTACGAGATCCAGGCCGTCGGCTGCGAGTCAATCTGAGCCACCGTGGGTGGGAGGCCAGAGGCAAGTCAACCTCGTCAACACTACTTAAGGCCCCTGTGAAACGGTATTCACCAATTCGTGGTAGCTGAGGTAGATCCCAGGGCTCGATCCCTAGTTCCCCAACTTACCTGTGTACAATACCTGCGTCAACTCGAAGAGTTGAACCTGCGACCTGTAGAACCGCCAGTGGTAGGTAGGTCTGTCGTAGGTCTATAGGTAGCCAGGATTCGATCCGTAGACCTATAGACTAGAAGGCTAGCTACAGTCCTTCTAGAAGGTTGCCAAGTGGTCAAGTGGTGCAGGCAAGTGGTCAAGTGGTGCAGGCAAGTGGGCAAGTGGTGTGACTAAAGCAGGGTCGTCGTCATACAGTCAAGGGAGAGTCTAGAAAGTACCAGTCCGGTCCAGCAAGTACCACGGGGGGAACTGTGTGCACCATGGGCCAGGGACACAGGGCAGACCAATGCAGCACAGAAGTATAAATCA